AAAATGATTAGGGTCAGACTTGGCGTCAGAGAAACAGCAGAGTATGTAAGGCACTTGCCCTCACACAGACCACATGGGTTCAATCCCCAGCACCACTCATGGTTTCCCGAGCCCTACCAGGAGTAAGCTCAGGACTCAAAAACAAAATGAACAAGACCAACAAATCATTAACAGTATTCAAAAAGAAAGAGAAAATTATAAAAACTGAATCAGAAATAAAGAGAGACTAAACCAGAACCACAGAAATCCAAAGGTTCATTAGAGATTACAATAAAAAAAAAAAAACATAAAACAGGGCAGCCAGAAATCCTTGGACTCTCAGAACCTTCCAAGACCGAATCAGGAGAAAACAAAGCATCTGAACACATCAATTACTCACAAGGATATCAAAATGGTAAAAATATTCCTCAAAACAAAGGTCCAGGCCCAGATTGTTTCTCTAGCAAGCTCTCTGAATCTTTAAAAAGAGACCTACTTCTAATCCTTCTCAGACTCTTTCAGAAAGTCATGGTCATGGTCACGGTCCTCCCGTTTTTCATCGATTTGCTCGAGCGGGCCCAGTAACGTCTCCATCGTGAGACTTGTTACTGTGTTTGGCATATTGAATTCGTCACGAGTAGCTTGCCAGGCTTTGCCGAGCGGGCGAGATACTCTCGGTAGCTTGCCCGGCTCTCTGAGAGGGGCGGAGGAATTGAACCCGGCTCTGCCAGGCTGGCTGCGCACAAGGCAAATGCCCTACTGCTGTGCTATCGCTCCAGCCCAAAGAAAAATAAACATTCACAATTTTTATAAGGTAAACACTGTAGGGGGAACATCACTCACTATAAAGAAAATCATAAACTGGCACGGCGATTTCTCCCAGAAGGGAGCATAGCATCAGGCCCCCCCATAGACATGCCACAGGACTCCGCGCCAAGCTGTTTCACTTGGGGCGCCCCAGAGGCGGGTGGGTGAGAGCCTTCCCCACCCCAAGGGACCCAGTCACAGCAGCTGAAAACCTCCATAGCCCAACTGCCGCCACACTCAAGGCCACTCCCCACACGCTCGGGAGAGCCTCACATATAAGTGAACATATTCCTGGACCGTACATAAGACACTCGAACCCATTCCCCATAATTACATCATATTTGATGGGGTTCAGACAGTAGGCAACAAATCATAGAGGGAAATACATATATATATGCATATATACATATTTTCAGCTATATATATACCAAAGCTCACATCACCCAAACTTCAACATGTTAGTGATATCCTATAAAATGTCTTAATGGCTCCTACCAAAATAAAACAATCTTCACACTGTTTCCTATATGAACTCTTTTTCTAAGCATGTTCAGCAGTTCTTCATAACAGACAATACAAATATATTAATACGGTTGTGTTTTGGGACAGGGCTTGGGGCTTGGGATAGAAACATCCCGGAATTTGGTGGTGGGAAGGTGTAATGGTGGCGGGATTGGTGTTTGAATATTAAATGTAATCAAATATTGTGAACTAACTTAGCAAATAAAAAGATAAAAAAAGAAAAGAAAATCATAAACCAATATCATTAAACAAAGATGCAAAGACCCACAACAAATTATTAGTGAAGTAAATCAAATAATAAATTAAAACGATCATGTACCATCATCAACTGACTTATCTAAGGGATCAAGAATGATTTAATGTACATAAATTCAATCAATGTAAAATGCCATATCAATGCAAGGAAAAATTAAAATCATATGATCATATTAACTGATGCAGAGAAAAAACTGAGAAGAACCAAGATTCATTCATGATAAAATCTCAAGAAAAATAAGAAAAGAAGAAACTTTCCTTCACATATTTAAAGCCACTTTACCACAAGTACACAACTAATATTATACTCATCTATTTTTTCCCCTTGACACTGAGTATCACCACCCAATTTGTTAAGGTGGGAATCTTCAAGTTTCACTACCACTTCTTTTTCCTTTCCCTTCCCTTCCCTTCCCTGCCCTGCCCTGCCCTGCCCTGCCCTGCCCTCCACTACTTTCCCCCTTCCCTTTTCTTTCTTTTCCACTTCCTTTCTTGTTTCTCTTCCTTTCTCATTTTTTTTATTAGGAAGAAATTTTCAATTTACTCTTCTCATTAAAATACTAAGATGGAAAGATGCCTGGCATGAGAAGTATACAAAACTATCTTTATTTTTTCTTTTTTTTTTGCTTTCTGGGTCACACCTGGCGATGCTCAGTGGTTACTCCTGGCTCTGCACTCAGGAATCACTCCTGGTGGTGATGGGGGAATCATATGGGATGCTGGAAATCGAACCCGGATCAGCCATGTGCAAGGCAAACGCCCTACCCGCTGTGCTATCATTCCTGCCCCACAAAACTATCTTCTTCCTTTTCTAAGAATCTGCAGCTAAGGAGCTCTAATGGTAAAATAAAGTCTAATGATAAAACAAGGAATAAAGTCCCTACATTCCTATTTTATGAGATTTAGTAATTTGTTCCATGTCACAAATCTCCAGAGACCCTGTTCTTAACCACTATACCATCATATTTATTCATATTAATGAGCAAACATTTTCAAAAGATCTATTAATGACAGCCATTTGACACAAAGAGCCAAAGCAGAATACTCCTTCACTAGTAGAAAGAAGCAGGTGGCGGTTGACCTCCTTGTTGATCACAGGGCAAGGATTACCTTATCAGGCTGAAAATCAAGAGTACTGATGTCTGTGGAATGAATACTGAAAGGTTCTCCCTCCCCTATGAACAGCAATTACTAGTCCACGGAGTACTTCAGCTTTTTGCATATACAGTTCATTTTTTTTTAAATTTAGGCACAGTGATTTACAAAATCATTGACAATGAAAAGCCTCAGGCTTACAAAGTTTCAGCTCCAATCCCTCAATAGCATTGACAACCCTCCACCAAATACAACAGATTTCCTCCTTGCCCTCCTACCACCCTGTCTCCTACACAGATATTTGTTTTGTTTGGGGACCACATCCAGCGATGCTCAGGGGTTACTCCTGACTCTGAACTCTGGAATTACTCCAGGTAGTGTTCAGAGGACCATATGGGATGGCAGGGATAAAGCCCATGTCACGTTAATGCAACACAAGCACTAGTCTTCTGTACTACTGCTGCAGGCCATACTGACCAGCCTCCCCCCTGCTTAGTTTCCAGGATTAGATGAGACTGGGTTAGTTCAGGGTGCTATGACCTTAGACAATTGTTTTATATTAAGTTTAATTGTTGCAGTTTGGGTCCTAAGCTTAATGCAGTGTTGGCTGTAGTGGTTTAGAGAAGTACAGACATCTCACCTCTACAACACCAGAGACCAGTCCAAGATGCCCGGCCCTTGCCCCTATGTTACTTCCACATATCCTCTTCTTTCTTCCTCCCTTCATTTCTCTCTCTCATTACAGATGCTGTTTTCACTTCTGAAATCTAGGGCCAAGGGTTTTCCCACCTTTGATACCTTCTATTCCCTTGTAGTGTTATTCTATATACCACAGATTCATGAGATATCAGGTATGCAGGCTGTGGTTTTCACGAAGAAATTAGATCACGTGCATCAGTTATTAAAAACTCTTTAGTCCAGTTGGAATTCAAACAGAAATCTTGCTTTACCACAGAATGAAGTGATACGCTTAACCTCCAAGGCCTCCTCACCCCAGAATAAGGTAAAGGTAAAGGTAAAGGCCCTCCTGTTGATCATCGATTTGCTCGAGCGGGCCCAGTAACGTCTCCATTGGAGACTTTGTTGTTACTGTGTCTGGCATATCGAATACGTCACAGGGAGCTTGCCAGGCTCTGCTGTGCGGGCGAGATACTCCCGGTAGCTTGCCGGGCTCTCCGAGAGGGGCGGAGGAATCGAACTCGGGTCGGCCATGTTGGCTGTGTGCAAGGCAAATGCCCTACCGCTGTGCTATCGCTCCAGCCCAGAATATCCGAAGTAAATAGACTGCAATACCCTCATGGGGTATTCAGTAAGTCCCAAGCAAAAGGATACACATCGGATGCCTCTCTGAGCTCTGCACTTTCACTGTGACCTACAGTCTAAACTGCTTTCCATTACCTCCATGGCCTTATGCACCACCCTCACCTCCATCACATTCTACCTACATCGCATCCGACCCTCCAGGCCTCCAGCCACACTATTTTGCTTTCCCAGGAATTCTTGGCCTCTTCAGGACCAAGATAAGTGCAGGCTTCTTATCTGCACTTTCTTCTTCCTGAATTATTCCAGGATTTCATAATAGCAGCGATCATGTCATGATATAGCTCTCAAAATCGCCTCTTTCCTCATTGATACTTCATGTCCCCACCCTGGGGAGAAAGTCTGATTCCACATTCCACATAATTCCTAAGTGGAAACTATCCCTATCGATAGAGCACTGCCTGGCCCGTGGGCCTGAAGCTGTTTAAGGGGGATATTCTTTTTTTTTTTAACTTTTATTAGTGAAACACCATGAGATACAGTTGTAGACTTACAAATTTTTGTGCTTGGGTTTCAGTTATACAATGATCAAGTACCCATCCCTCCACCAGTGCCCATTCTCCACCACCAATGATCCCAGTATCCCTCCCACCCCCCATCCTCCCCATTCCACCCTTCTCCCGTGGCAGGGCATTCCCTTTTGTTCCTTCTCTCCTTTTGGGTGCTGTGGTTTGCAAAAGAGGCATTGAGTAGCGATCATGATCGATCTACAGCCTACTTTCAGCATGCATCTCCCATCCTGGGAGGATCCTCCCAACCCCGTTTATTTGGTGCTCCCTTCTCTATCTGAGCTGCCATTGCCTAAGGGTGGTATTCTCACACTTCTCACACACTCAAGCCCACCCGGCCCATCCTTGCCGCTCTTGGGAGAAACTAATCCATAAAGCAAGAGGCAAGAGAAAACCTATCAATGGAAAACAGAGAAAGCAACTTGAGGTTAGCCCAGTAAGTGACAGCTAACCAGGGCAGTAGAGAACACCTTCCTGGTGTGGGGCATGCCCCGGTCCAGAGGCGCCTCCTACCTTGAAGGCGGCGGAGAGCTGCGGCCGGTACTGCCGCGTCCAGAGCGCGCGCACGAGCGCCGCCAGCTGCCCGGTGACCTCGGCGCGGCCTGGGGCCGCCCGGTAACGCCCCAGGGCCAGGAACTCGGCCAGCAGGTCGGTGTTGCTGAGGCACTGCACCACGGCGTTCATGAAGCAGGTGTTGCCGTGGTTCTTCAGGCCCTGCGCGCCGGGGGGCCGCTCCGCAGCGCCCGGGACGCGGGCGGCGCCGTCCCCTCCGTCCCCCGGGGACGCTGAGCGCAAGGCGCGGGCCCGGCTGTCCCCTCCGTCCCCGGGGAACGCTGAGCGCGGGGCGCGGGCCCGGCTGTCCCCTCCGTCGCCCGGGGACGCTGGGCGCAAGATGCGGGCCCGGCTGTCCCCTCCGTCGCCCGGGGACGCTGAGCGCAAGGCGCGGGCCCGGCTGTCCCCTCCGTCGCCCGGGGACGCTGAGCGCAAGATGCGGGCCCGGCTGTCCCCTCCGTCCGCTGGGGACGCTGAGCGCAAGGCGCGGGCCCGGCTGTCCCCTCCGTCCGCTGGGGACGCTGAGCGCAAGGCGCGGGCCCGGCTGTCCCCTCCGTCCGCTGGGGACGCTGAGCGCAAGGCGCGGGCCCGGCTGTCCCCTCCATCGCCCGGGGACGCTGAGCGCAAGATGCGGGCCCGGCTGTCCCCTCCGTCCCCCGGGGACGCTGAGCGCAAGGCGCGGGCCCGGCTGTCCCCTCCGTCCCCGGGGGTGGCCGGAGCAGATCCCGGGGCGCGGGCGGGGCGGCGGCTGCGCGCGGGGCGGAAGCTGCTCCACAGGCGGCCCAGGAAGCGGCGGCGGAACGGGGACCCCGGGCGACCCTCTCCCGCCGCGGGCCCCGGGCCCGGCTCCATGAAGCCCGGAGCAGGCGCCGCCCCCAGCGCAACCCAGTCCCGAGGCGACGGCCACGCAGCTTCCGGCTGGAGAGCAAACGGGGACGCGGCTACCTGCGCGCCAGGTGTGCCCGTCGGGGGGAGGAGCCGGCCCGGCCCGGCCCCGCCCCTCCGCGCGCCCAGCCCCGCCCTGGCGCGGGGGCCGGGCACCGAGACTGCCCCGAGTCGGTGATTTCTTACCGACTGCATCGCAAGGCACTCTGTTCCTGTACCATCGCAAACTAGAAGCTGTGAACATAGGAACGTGATCAATTAGAAACGCCTCTTGGGTGGCGAAAGCAGATTTTCAACGTGTAATTACGTCCAGGTGAATATGAAGAAAAGAGAAAGAAAATATTCCAAAAGGTGGCCTCTAGGGCTGGAGCAATAGCACAGCGGGTAGGGTGTTTGCCTTGCACGCAGCCCGACCCAGGTTCGATTCCCAGCATCCCATATGGTCCCCTGAGCACCGCCCGGGAGTAGTTCCTGAGTGCAGAGCCAGGAGTAACCCCTGAGCATCGCTGGATGTCACCCAAAAAGAAAAAAAAATGTAACTTCTAGCTTTGCTGTAAAGAACATTGGCAAATGTGACCGGGAACTTGTGTGCACGCCCCCCTTTCCCTCCTTCCCCCCAATCCTCAGCCAGGTGAGAGATGTACAGATAGGCGCGCCACGCCCTGCATCCTTGCTACCTCCTAGGAGGGACTGTCGCAGCCACTGCTTTGCTGGGACCCGAAGTGACAGCCGCACATTACGACCAAGAGCGAAGCATCCGAGACGGCGATCGTTTGCTGTTTTTAAACTAAAGACTATGCGAATCATTTTTCAAACCGTGATCATTCTCGATTTGATCGGTAATGATGTGGGCTCAGAGAAAAAAACAACAAAACAATACACTAAGGCCTTGAGCAGAGAAAAGAGAACTCTACATGAGTCTTTGGAATGCCAATCTTACAGGCTGTTTACCAGGAAGTTTTAGGTTTGTTTGGTTTTTGTTGTCTTTTACTCTTAAGTGAGCCTCTTAATGTTCTCTCCTGCCCACACCTTATTGTTCATTGAGGCTCACATCTTAAAGCTCTTAAAGCATCTTAAAGCCGAATTGTTGCCCAATCAGAATTAGTTGGCCTTGGGTTCACGTTACTGTAACTGTCAGGTTTATAATTAATCGGGCAAAGTCTTGCAAAACAAATTTCTTATCAATTTCTGACTCAAAAAAAATCTAATGGATGCATTTTGAATATTAACCCAGAAATGTGGAATAACTGATTACACTTGTTAAATATCTGCCTTGATATTCAAATAGGCAATAAGACCTGATGACAGAAAGCAAAATAAAAAGACAGGAGTGGGAGAGATAGCTCAAAGAGCCAGGCACTGCTTTTCTTGCAGGAGACATAAGCTTGATCTGCATTATATGGTGCCTGGAGCAACACAGGAAGCAATCCCCAAGATCAAGCTATTAGTCCTTCAAGCACCAGCCAGTGTGTACCTACCCTCCCTCCAAACAGAGGCATTAGTATTATGAGATATGATCAGAGTGTGGTCCCCAAACCCTCTGAGCACTGCATGGGAGTTATATCAAAGCACCTACAGTGAGGTGGGGATTAACTCCAGCTCTTACATAGTAACTCTTACCATTCAACTCTAGTTCTAAGAAGAAGCCCATTTTTAACAAAAGACTAGCAAGGTATTGAGACATGGACAGAGTGGCAGAGAGATAACTGAAAAAACTGCAGTACCAGCATAGCATGTAGAATCTATCCCTGGGTTTGACCTCAGAACTAAAGTGGTAACTAACTTCTAGACTTGAACCCTGAGCACTGTCAGATATTAAAAAAGAAATTACAATGAATAGAAACACTAACAATGGAAAGATGGGAAGGCCTAATCAGTATGGGCTCATGAGACACAGCGATAGCACAGCGGTAGGGCGTTCGCCTTACACGCGGCCAACATGGCCGACCCGAGTTCGATTCCTCCGCCCCTCTCCGAGAGCCCGGCAAGCTACCGAGAGTATTCGATATGCCAGACACAGTAACAACAAAGTCTCCAATGGAGACGTTACTGGGCCCGCTCGAGCAAATCGACGATCAACGGGAGGGCCTTTACCTTTATTTTAGGTAACAGAGTTTTTGTATGTTTGTTTATTTTACAACAAAATATCTTCATCAGTAGTTTCAAATAAGTTGGAGGTGGGGGATATCAGTGGTAAAGTACATAGGTGAGGTCTTAGAATCTATCCCGAGCATATAACTAAAGTAATTAATTACACAAAAGTTGTTTCACTTCCAGATACTCATATGGAGAATTAAAATAAGGCCCTTTAATATTTCTCCCACAACATAAAATCGTCTTAATTCCATTAACTACTTTTGGAGCTGGTAAAAGGATAAATGCTCTCTCCAATTTTTTAATTTTATTTTGCTTAGGGGGCTACTCCTGGTTCTGTTTAAGGGTTTCTTTCTACAGTGCTCAGGGGACCAGGACTTGCTGACACTCAAACCAGAAACTTATTGTTTCCTGCATCCAGATCATACATTCAGACCATTAGTCTACGTTCAGTTACTTTAAAATTATCTCAAAGTACGGAATTGGGGGAGGCATCCCAAGTTTATTAGTTAAATGTACAATTAATTATATTTGCATCAGATCATCCAAGGTGGCCATATGACAGAATATTAATAACATCTAGCACATCCTCTCATCTTTTCTTTTGGGGGGGGGTCACATCCAGCATTGCTCAGGGGTTACTCCTAGCTCTGCACTCAGGAATTACTCCTGGTGATGCTGCCAGGGATTGAACCCAAGTCAGCCTCGAGCAAGGCAAATGCCCAAATGCTGTACTATCACTCCGGCCCACATCCTCTCTTCTGAAACTTATTGTTTACTTCAGGGTGAAATGTTACGATGAAAGAAAGAGTAATCGGAAGCCTTAAGCATAAGAGAAAGAACACATGGAGGGTGCGGGATCCCGGAGGAAAAAAAAAAAGAAAAAACAGGTTCCAAAAAGAGCCAAGTTCACCCGCAAGTTCCAGATGGAGTAGGCGCCGCATCTCGCCTCCCCCAGATGGAACCCCGGTGACCAGAAGCCTCTACAAACACAGCTCGAGTATGCGGGAACGAGGACTTTTTCTCAAATCTGCCGAACTACACCTCCCAGGTAACCTCTGATTCCGGAAGTCATGCCCACAGCCCGCCCCCCAGCGCCATCTTTGAAGCCTTAAGCATAAGAGAAAGAACACATGGAGGGTGCGGGATCCCGGAGGAAAAAAAAAAAAAGAAAAAACAGGTTCCAAAAAGAGCCAAGTTCACCCGCAAGTTCCAGATGGAGTAGGCGCCGCATCTCGCCTCCCCCAGATGGAACCCCGGTGACCAGAAGCCTCTACAAACACAGCTCGAGTATGCGGGAACGAGGACTTTTTCTCAAATCTGCCGAACTACACCTCCCAGGTAACCTCTGATTCCGGAAGTCATGCCCACAGCCCGCCCCCCAGCGCCATCTTTGAAGCCTTAAGCATAAGAGAAAGAACACATGGAGGGTGCGGGATCCCGGAGGAAAAAAAAAAAGAAAAAACAGGTTCCAAAAAGAGCCAAGTTCACCCGCAAGTTCCAGATGGAGTAGGCGCCGCATCTCGCCTCCCCCAGATGGAACCCCGGTGACCAGAAGCCTCTACAAACACAGCTCGAGTATGCGGGAACGAGGACTTTTTCTCAAATCTGCCGAACTACACCTCCCAGGTAACCTCTGATTCCGGAAGTCATGCCCACAGCCCGCCCCCCAGCGCCATCTTTGAAGCCTTAAGCATAAGAGAAAGAACACATGGAGGGTGCGGGATCCCGGAGGAAAAAAAAAAAAAGAAAAAACAGGTTCCAAAAAGAGCCAAGTTCACCCGCAAGTTCCAGATGGAGTAGGCGCCGCATCTCGCCTCCCCCAGATGGAACCCCGGTGACCAGAAGCCTCTACAAACACAGCTCGAGTATGCGGGAACGAGGACTTTTTCTCAAAACCGCGCGGCCGCTTATGCGGCCGCGCGACATCTCTCTATATACAAAGTGATCAATGAGAAGTAAACCACCCAATCTTTCTCCCTGAAAGTCAGAGTTAAGTTTGGAGCACGGCCACAGCCCCAGAAACACAAGGACTTAATGCAGAACCCAGCAGCTTAGAGCAGAAAAGTGAAAGGACTATGCATTAATCCAGGCCATCAAGTCTGCCGGAGGGGAAAGGGTGTTGCCCCATTCGCCCTCTCTTCTCTGGAAAGAAGGATGGCAGCCGCATGGGAGCCTTGTGGACAGCAGGTATGAGCCGGGGGTGTGGGGGCGACTAAAACCTCATGGGAAGGGGGGTGTTCCGGTCCGTCCTTCACGCCCTACCGAGGTCACCAGTTGCCCCCCACGAGCGGCTCTCCAGCACGGCCACAGCCCCAGAAGCACAAGGGCTTAATGCAGAACCCAGCAGCTTGGAGCAGAAAAGTGAAAGGACTATGCGTTAATCCAGGCAATCATTTCTGCCCAGAGGGGAAAGGGTGTTGCTCCCTTCCGCCCTCCTCCCTCTGGAAAGAAAGATGGCGGCCACATGGGAGCCTTGTGGACAGCAGGTATGAGCCGGGGGTGTGGGGGCGACTAAAACCTCATGGGAAGGGGGGCGTTCCGGTCCGTCCTTCACGCCCTACCGAGGTCACCAGTCACCCCCCACGAGCGGCTCTCCAGCACAGCCACGGCCCCAGAAGCACAAGGACTTAATGCAGAACCCAGCAGCTTGGAGCAGAAAAGTGAACGGACTATGCATTGACCCAGGCCATCAAGTCTGCCGGAGGGGAAAGGGTGTTGCCCCATTCGCCCTCTCCTCTCTGGAAAGAAAGATGGCGGCCACATGGGAGCCTTGTGGACAGCAGGTATGAGCCGGGGGAGTGGGGGCGACTAAAACCTCATGGGTCGGGGGGCGTTCCGGTCCGTCCTTCATGCCCTACCGAGGTCACCAGTTGCCCCCCACGAGCGGCTCTCCAGCACGGCCATGGCCCCAGAAGCACAAGGACTTAATGCAGAACCCAGCAGCTTGGAGCAGAAAAGTGAATGGACTATGCGTTGATCCAGCCCATCAAGTCTGCCGGAGGGGAAAGGGTGTTGCCCCATTCGCCCTCTCCTCTCTGGAAAGAAAGATGGCGGCCACATGGGAGCCTTGTGGACAGCAGGTATGAGCCGGGAGTGTG